GGTTGTGGTAGTGCTGGCGGTGACCACCGGTGGCGTCGACTGCGGCCCCGATTGGCCCACATTTGCCGCGGGTTTGGGCGGAACGTAGACTTTGATGTCTGGTTTCTTGCCATTGCTATTATTGGCGCCTTTATTGCCATTATTAGACTTGTGATCACTTCTGGGATCCGATGGCGGCTTCGCGTCCGTAACCAACTCGTGCCGCACGTCTTCGCTTTGGACTGAAATATCAATTAATTCGCATCAATGGTCACCAAAAACAGATCCCAAAGGCAGCCAATGAGAGGCTGGGAACGAGTGGATGGCTTACCGCCGATGGTGTCTCCGTTGTCGCCCTTCTTGGCGGCCAAAATCTTGCCCATCCCTGGCTTATAGCGAGCCATCTCTGGCCGCTTCCGGTGCTGCGGACCCGAGGGCTGACCCGACGGCGACTTTGCGTCCATTTTGGCGCTCAGTTTTGGCGATAATTTTGTTTACCGTTTGTTAGAAACAAATGATTTGAATTGCATTTGCGTTCAAAGCGTTTGCATTTGAATAATAATAATGAAAAACCAATTTATAGTTTGCATTAAATGTGTATTAATTTTGATAATAATATTTAATTGCGATTAAAAACGCGTGAAAATTGTTTTGCGTTTTTTTATTATGACTTTTGTGTGAATGAAATAACTCTTTGAATGTTATGCTTGTTATTAGTAAACAAAACAAAAGACTTTTGGTGTCCAATAAATTACGTCCAGTAATTCAGTTTTGCCTGTGATTACGAGTACTGATAGAAAAGTTTGTAAATTGTGCGTTAATTTAGTTTTGATTTGGTTTATAATTGTTTCAAACTTGGTTTTGTAATCTGTAATTAATAGCCTATTTATTTGATATTGGTTTTTACTATTTAATTTAATTTGAATTGGTGTAAATGTTTGGTTTGTTGTTTGTTTGAACACCTGTATATATTTCCATAGACGTAATTAACTAGATTAACTAATTAACTATTCACCTTCAGTATTTAGTACCGAGACACAATTTTTCGACCTCAAACCTAAATAGATTTAATCTTATGATAAATTATACAGTTTTTTATTTACAAAATATTTGTTTTATAATTTTTATGTATTTTTATAATCATATATTTAATAACAAAAATTATTATACGTTATAAATTGAATCAAACTTTTATATAATTAAATTAATAGCCATTAAACAAATTGACCCTGGCTTATATTTAGCGCCAATTAATATCATGATTAACTTTCTGGACGTACCACTCGGGCACCACACGAAAGGCCTGGCAGTAGTCGCGCACCCAATGGCACCGGATATCCATACCGGGGCTGAAGTCAAACTCGTAGACCAGTCGCGGGTCATCGCAGGTGACCGTCCGCTTGACGTACGCCAGAAAGCTGTCCAAAAAGTTGAGACAAACGTCGGTCGACCAGAATCTGTCCAGAATA